TGTATTCTTATAATGACAAATTATTCATATATTTATATTGACTCTAAGACCTCTATTTTTCTAAACTTTATCTTCATATTACTATTTCTTTTGATATTTATTTTTTCTTTTAAATACATCGTTGTAAGATTAATAGAAACTATTTTCTTAAATAAGATTTGTCAAGAAATATGAGTTCAAGGGCTTTTATTGTTTTTAGAGTCATATACTACAATCGTGGATTGAAATGTTGTGAATTTATATCATGATGAGAAGCCAACTATGAAAGAAAATTTTATAGATGCCCAAAAATAGATCAGTAGAGGACTGTGACTTATTTATATTGTTGGATAAGTGTGGGGAGTCTACTTCATATAGCGATCATGTGTGAAGAGTAGCTTTAGAAAAAAAGTTTTCCAATAAACTTGACCGTTTGAATTCTAAAAGTAATATTTTAATAATATTAATTATTGTTATTATAATTTTGATTTTTCTGTTAGTCAGTGTTTTTGTGATATATTTCTTTTTATGTAATATTTGGACTTGTGACCTTTTAGAATTTCAAAATTTCATTTATGTTGTTATGTATGTGTTAATTCTAAAAAGATTAGCTTATATATACCATATGTATAAAAGAGTAATATAGTCTTTATTTCAGAAACAACAATAACATAGTTATTGCACATTTGAACTAATTAAATAGACACACAATTTCACCCATACCAGCTTCGCTACAACAGCTTTCCCATATCAACTTCTTTTGCAGTTGTTTATTCAAACAGTTGTCGCTGCCCCAAACAAATCCTTAATATGCAATATGGGTAGAACACATAACAGTTTGAGAGAGAAGAGTGGTTTATACAATTTATGATTTTCTATGTTTTATTCAACTTTTATGTATTATGGCTGAGAAATTCCCAATGCAAATTCATATGCTTGTGTGTACATTTATTGCATAATACTTCAGAAAAATTATAGCTTGAGGGAAAAAATATTGACCAATGTAATTCATTTAGTTTGTGTTTTATTGATGGTTGATGTAGAGAGTGCTCATGCAGATGAAGATTGTAATGACACTTTAAGACTTTAGATTTTTTTCACATTGAATAAGTATATTTATAGTATGAGAGCTTGAATGATTGGAAGATGAGTGTCAAAAGTTGGTCATTGTTGGATGTTAAGAAGCAATTGTCGAGGACTAAGAGAGGCTAAGGCAACATTAAGTAATCTTCTTTGTTATTCTCCTTATAAGAAGGGAAGCTAGATGATATAGAGATCAGTGTTATTTGTCATTTGACAAAAAAAAAGAATTTAAATGATTATTGTCAATAAGAATTATATAATATCAAAAAATAACATTATAGTTCAAGTAACATTACAAAGTTGGCTTGAGTGAACCTCTTATAGAAGAAAGAATTGGGTATCAAGGTAAACTATTAAATACAAATGGCTTGTAGTATCAAATTAATGTCACTTGATAGTAGTTGTCTTGTGATAGTTAATAATTAAATTAACATCTTGGAAGAAATTGAGTAATTAGATCATCACTTAACAAGAATATTACTAGGCTATCTCGAAATTTATTTAAAGAATATGCAGACAATTGTTTTGCATTAGTCTTTGACGTTCCTCAACTAACAACCGATGGCATCGAAGATCAAGATACATAAAACAATCAGCTCAATCATTCTTCCAATATGAGAGAACCCATGAAACTAAAATGATTAGTGCTAGACTTCCGTGGCTACAAAATATTAGAGGGTGATGGACAACAATAGATAAAGTATTTTGAAGATTGGGCAATCAACTCAATTATTCTCATTATAGAAGATAAAATTATGAAATTGGTAGACATAGATTAAATGTAGTAACCTTTGGACATCATATATCACCCTTTTGATAGCATCATAAAATGATTAACAAAGGCCATCTCAAATCAAGTAACATGAGCCAATTGAGCTTGTTGTTCACCTTATAAAAAGGCTGATCTTACATTCCAAAACTTGGATGTCAAATGTTGAATGTTGGTAGGTGCCAGATGTTTTAGGTATCATGTGATAATCTCAAAGGTCGGTAATATAGAAAATACTTGCTTGATCATTCTCCTAATAAATGACGAGACAATGCTAGCAAAAAGATGTCCTTTAGATATCACTAATTGGTATATGCCAGATATCTATCTTTGATATAAATTAAACGATAATATATGAGGAATATCAACATTTAGATAATATGAAATAGTTAGTTCGACCATTCCTTTATAATAAAAGCTATATGACAACCAAGAGAAGAGACATTTGACATAAGTGGCTTTTATATACTAATTATTAGTAGAGTATTTAGTGAAAAGTGTTGAAGGTTGGTGAACATCAAGAGAACAATTTAAATTTAGAAGTGTTGAGAATAAAAGTCAATGGATCTCAAAATCAAATGTTAAAGGTGTAATTAGATATAAAAAATTGAATTAAAATACATCTTTGATGGAATAAATATTTTTAAGCCACAAGAGGTTAATAAAATTAGGGGCATTTACATGCATACCGCCCAATTCGTATGTATTTGCATGTCTAACCCCTAAATTTATATAAGTGGGGTATGCATGTAAATGTTCCATAAAACTTATGATCAAATATTTTCCAGCTCGATGAATCTGAATTAAATAATTACCTTTATTCGGCTTTCAATTTTTTTTTTCTTTTCATTCCACCCACTCATGTTCGAGGAAAAATTAAGAAAAAAACTGTTGAGAAATGAGGGCGAAGTGAAACAAGAATCGACACAAATCCAGAAGAACACACAGAGATTTACGAGGTTTGACAAAGATGCCTACATCATCGGGAGCAGAGCGGCGAATTCCTTTTCAATATTCCTTTTCAATATTCCCTTTTCAATATTCAGAAAAAAGTACAGAATACAAGAATCAGAATCTCAGACTCACCTAGAGTTACAAACAAAACATATATATAACCCTATAATACAATATGTAATTACTTAAATTACCCTTGTACCAAACCACGGGTTGTTCACCCCGGACCCTCTACCCACATAATGAAACTCCCCCGATTAAACAGTTCATTCCGCTCCCCTCCGCTCGTGGGCTCTCCTCCGCTCCAGCATCCGTTCCATTTATGGTATACGGGCCATTCTTAACAAAAACAATTTACATGGATTTTTTTTTTAATCTGGCCATTTACTTATTAATAAACAAACACGTTTTTTCAAAGGAGATTAAAAAATAAATATACAATTAATATTATTTACATATTAGGGCCCGTTCGATTAATTACTTGAATAAAGCCAAACATCTCTCTTTATTTTAAAATTCTACAAACATAAGGTGTGAGATATGTAAATACATAGGAACTAAGGGTATGTATGTAAATATCCCTATAAGAAAATAATCATATGTAATGATTTTTTATTTCATATTTATTATTATTGTCATTATTTTATTGCTGGGATACAAAAGAACACTTAAAATGACATTCAAATAACTAGTTCAATTACATTGGTCAAATGACCTAAAACTAAGATTTAGTTTGATGCCATATCTTTAGAATAATGAGGACATATCGGTACGAAAATGACAAATTCGAAGCAGTTTTATTATTTGAGTGGAGCTCATTCCATCCCATGTGTTCACTATATGCCAAATATATATATAAATATACATATATAAATATATGCTAATTAAACACAATTTATTCGCGCGCGACGACGCGACAACTGACCGCATACAAAACTGCGCATGTGTCTCCATGTGTCATGTACAACACATTATTTTTCATTATTTTAAAATTTGAACTATAATTTTCAATGAACTAAAAATTATTCACTAATCATATTTACATCTCTCTTTGAGTTTAACATTGTATATAGTACACACACACCTAAAAAGATTTATCGAGTTGTTAAACTGTTGAGCTGTCAAGTTACATGTCTAGCTACCGAGTTACTAAGCTCACCTGTCGAGCTGCATAGTCGCAAAGCTCAGCTGTAACACGTTCACCTGTTAAGATGTTGAGCCATCGAGTTCAACTGCATTGAATGACATTACTAAAAGCTGCAAGATATAATATGAATTGAAGGATGTGACATAACATCATATATCTTTGTTTTTTTTTTTGACTTATAAATAGGAGTCAAATGCTTAAAGAGGAGGATAAAGAGGAGAGAAGAGCTTTATTTTCTCACGAGCTATTCCAATTCTCTTTTTTTTCTCATGTTTTACTCCGTGCTAGTAGCTAGGATCTGGGCATAAACTAAGGACCTTGCGGGATCCAACGTTAATTTATTTGACTAATTTTTTTTAATTTATTTTTACTAAAAATTATAAAAGTAATTATTTGTTTTATAATTTATGACAATTATGTCTAGCTCACTATCAAAGCTTGGTTAGTTTATCCCGTGCCTTTTAAAAATATAGTTCTCAAATAGACTAAAATGGATTGGATAGTTTAATATGAATTTATATTTGGCTTGTCTGAATTTTATTTTATTTAAAATTGACTTTCTTTCGAAATTATTTATATAATGTTATGTCCATTTTTAATTCCTTCAAATTTCAAAGAACTTGCCTTTCTTCAAACTTGTTCTAATTATAATTCCTTCAAGTTTTGTTCAAATTTCAAATCATTTTTAATTCCTTCAAGTTTTGTTTTATGCTCTCATTTTTAATTCCCTTTCAATCAATATATTGCACATTTGAGAGCATAAAACAAAACTTCAATGCATAATTCAAAATAACCACAATCACAATCACAATCTTGTGTAAATGGCTCTTCATTACAAGTACTTGTAGCATGTATCAAAAGTTTGATTCAATTCATGAGCTAATGTTAATTAAGTTCTTAGATCATCATAAATGACCACAATAGATATCACCATGTTTTCCATTGCAATAAATTTTTTTATATACTTTTTAAACTTTTTTACAAAAAACAAGCAAAAGAAAAAAAAAAGAAAAGAGGTTTTACAGACAAATCGCTGCTCTCCCACCCTCTATAGGACTGTTTCTTCCCTATTCCTACTGTCCCTCTCCCTTGTTCACCATAAGCAAGCCACACCCAATGAAGAAGCCTTGCTTTTTCCTTACCCATCCTCAATGATAATCGATTCAATCGAGGAGAAGAGAGTAAAGTCGCACCATTGCAGAGCTCACTCCACAATGGGAGTTGTCTACGACTACGCTTCTTCCATTCTCTTATGCCCCGAGGACAAAAGAAGCATACTTTGTATAGAAGAAGATTTCAATGGAGATGCTCAGGGGTGCTTCTCAGCCGAGATTTCAGACCAAAAAGTTGTTTTTTTCCCGTTACAGACTGAGGAATGTTTGAATGCTTTGCTGGGGAAGGAATCCGAGCATCTCCCAGCTGCAGATTATGCTGAGAGATTGATGAGTGGTGTATTGGACATCTCTGCTAGAAAAGATGCTGTTGAATGGATTCAGAAGGTGGATTCCTCTTCTGTGTTATCCTTGCAGTTTGGAGATCCCTCTCTTGGTTGATTTGGTTTTCTGTATCTGGATTTCAAGTTTTCTCTTGCTTAATTTAGTGTTTTGTTAGTGGATTTTGAATGGAGCAGGAGAGAATCAATTTGGACACCATGGATGCAATCTGATTCGTTAATTCATTCTATAATAGCATAAAGCTGGCATCTTTTTCACATTTGAGGGATAATAAATGTAATAAATGAAATTAAGAATGGCATGTTTGCTTGTCCTTGAATTAGTCTTTTTTTTATGGCATCTGTATGTCTCTTTAGTTAACTCATATCCTCTAAAAATGCTATCCATTTTCGATCTATTCTTCCGATGATGACAGAAATGAGATTGTTGATTTATTCAAATATCTTTTATTGCTCGGTTTGATCTGTGGTTTCTGCATGGGTATGTGCAGGCTATTGCTTATTACAGCTTTGGACCTGTAACTGCATATTTATCTGTAAATTATCTGGATCGATTTCTCTCCACACACGAGCTCCCAGTAAGTAGCACATAGAATTCTGCATAATGGATCTGTTCTTCATTTTCTCACTTCAATAGCTAATTTCATCTGCATTTTTCTTTATAGCAAGGCAAAGCCTGGATGATGCAATTGCTGGCAGTGACCTGCCTTTCCATAGCCATAAAAATGGAGGAAAATGAAGTCCCACTAGTTATGGATTTACAGGTGAAGCCATTTTCCTTTCTGTGTAATAATTTTTGTTGCTACCTAATTGTTGCATATGATATTTTACAATAGATTTGCAATGCCAAGTATGTATTCGAGGCGAAGACTATACAGAAAATGGAGCTTCTGATGCTGAGCAATCTCAAATGGAGGATGAAATCAGTAACACCTTTCTCATTCATAGACTACTTCTTGCACAAATTTCATAGTGGCAGTGCTCCAAAGGAACCAGAGATCAGTCTTTGCAAAGATCTCATTTTGTGTACAGTTAAAGGTTTGTTTTAAGGAATTCATGGCTTGAGATAGCTGAGGAAACATAAAAATTAAGTTTTGATTCGTGTAGAAATATAATGCAGGCATTGGTTTCTTAAAGTTCAGGCCTTCAGAGGTGGCTGCTGCAGCTGTGCTTGCTGCACTGGTTGATGATGGGCTAGTATCCATGGACAAGGCTCTGAAGTGTTGTTCATTTTTGGACAAGGTAAATTTTGAAAGAAAAGCAGATTTTTTGCTGATGTGCCTTTGAATTTCAGTTCATTTTATAAGACGATAGTTTTTGTCTCACAAGGAATAATTAGCAGCCTATGTTGACTAGCAAAAGAGTGTTTTTCAAAATTGAAAAGAAAACCAATGATTTGTGATTGTCTTAATGAAAATTAGCTCAAGGTTGTAAGAAAAATTGAAGGAGCACTGAGGACCAAGTTGTGCCCAATCTACTAGTAGATGTTGAGATTAATATCATATTTTATCAGTGGGTTATTTCTAGAATTTTACTAACACATTGGATAAGAGAAGGATATCCTTGGTTTCATTTTCAAATTAGAAGCTCATGTTGATGTTAACAAGGATATCAGATACTAAGTTTTTTCCTCATAAATTTTTTCTTTACTGCATCTTTTCGTGATTTAATTCCTTTTTTTTAGTTTTTGTTATAATTTGGAAATGATATTGCTTGCAGGAGAAAGTGATACAATGCTATAAAGCATTGCAAGGGACAAAACTCATGGAGAAGAAACTTCTTCCTGCTTCCTCTGTGCCACAGAGCCCAAATGGGGTGTTGGATGCCGCAACTCTGAGCTACAATAGTGATGAAACCATTAGTAGCTCACAAGAAAAGTCGCTTAATAATTCTCCAACATCAAAGAAGAGGAAGCTAAATAACACATCAGCATCATAGAAGTTGGGATTTATTCAGCACTGTTTCTGAGAAGCTTCAAGTCTTTTTTTTTTCATGTCAAATTTTTGTTTGTTGGAGTCTGTCTCTGAGATTTGGGGGTAAGTTGTGCAAAAGATAGTCTTTGACGAGGAAGAAGAGACAACAAGATGAAACAAGGGAGAAAATAAGGAGATGAGGTTATAGCTCAGGCTTTTATCTTGAGTGAGGTCATCTATTGTGAAGTTTTAAGGCACAAATACTAGCAATGGGAGTGAAATTTGGAGACTACTTTTAGTTGTTTTATGAAAAAAAATTAAAAATGAGATTCCTTCAAAAAAAAAAAAAAAAACACAAGAGAAGAAAATCTAACAAATCGTTTTAGTTTATCTTTCTTTAGTTAAGGTATTGTGATCCTATATGATATATCTTTAGGTTTAATAAATATAAATGATCTAACGAAAAGTAGAGTTTTCATAAAGTTCAAATGTATTCATATATCTCAATGCATTGAATGACTTTTTAGTTAAAAAAAAAAATAATAATAATAATAAAGTATGAACTTAGAGAAGCTAAAAGAGAGATCCCTCCAAGAACTTAGTGTATAAAAGCTTATTCATTATTCCATTGTTTTTTTCTTCTCGTGTTCCTTTATGAATGGGCTCCATTGAAACATCCTAAAAGGTCATTGTTTAGATCATTGTCTCTTTGCTATTGTCTCTTCTCACCATTTAAAGTTCTTAAAATTTTAAATATAAATTTACCCTTACATAGTTATTTTTTGGAGGGGTAGCTAGACAACATTATTTGGTTGTGTTTGTTGCACTAATGATTGATATTTGTTGTGTGATTTTTAATGACAATCTTTTGTGATGCCTATCATGAATCTTCTTATGACCTTAATAATTGAGTAAATATTTTATAAATGTTGCATAATATATATTTAAATGTCAAGGAATTTGTAGCAAACTGGTATGCTGAGAAAAAAACTCTATGATAGAAACATTAGCTCCTTTTAAATACAAGAAGTCGATTTGTTGTTACCTACATTTAATTCATTTAGAAAAAACAGTCCTTTATTTTGAGCTCCAAGCAAGTATTCAAAAGACATATTAGCTTTTCTCTAATAAGTTTTTCTCCTTGTTCTAATCATTGATTCATCACTAAAACAAATGAGAAGGCCATTCATTTATTAAACCATGGGGCATTTACATACATACCCACACAGTTATTATATGTTTACACATCTAACACCTAAACATTGATATTTGCATGCACACCACTCAAAATTTTTAAATGTGAAGTACACTCTTGCGTATGCTCATAACACCTAAGTGTTATGAATATAAATATCAAAATTTAGGCATTAGATACGTAAATACATAGGAATTGTGTGGTATGTTTGTAAATTCCCCTTAAATCATTTGTCACTCATTTACTAAAGTATTAAAGGAGGAAACACATAAAAGAGGCTACAACTTCTTTTAATGCCTTAAAAGTTAATGGTGTGATCTGGATCTTATTAAATTACACATATTAATAGTATGATTTGATCAAACCATTAATCATATGAATTTTCTCTCGCAAATATAAATACATTTTTGCACAATCATATGATGATGATATTGTCAAAGGGCTTTAAATATTTAGGTAATTAGTAAGTTCTACTTGTAATTTTCAAGAAATCGACTTAAGTTTGCACTTCAGACATAAATTCATCATTATTTCTTAAGGACAACACTGTACATTTTTGTTCCTCAAATTGTAGTAGATAAAGACCACTTTCTCAAACACATGCTCAAGTGTGCTTTTATATTGGAGAAAGAGAGATGAAATTAAATGGATGCTATTTTCTTTAATTTATGAAAATTTTAAAATTTATTGTCATGTGATTGAATTTTGATCACAATAAATTTGTGCCTTGACAATTAATATTCCAAATATATAAAATCAAGTTAATAAAAAAATAGAAAGGGAGGTTCTATGTATGTTAGAGGGTTGGAGATCAAACTTATGCCATTAAACCTAACTTTTGATGTTCTTTAAAATCATTGCACTACCTGGTCTTTTAATTGGATATTCATGTTATAGTTAATTGGGGTATCTTTTGAAATGTGAAAAGAAGAGAAAATTATAAAATAATTTGATAACAATTATATAAATTTATTGCAAAAAATTGTATTCAAAATGCGAATGTTTTCATGTGTTTTAAATTTTGAACAATGTTCAATAACAATAGCGTTTATTACTAGTATACACACACAAATGGATTTGAAGATGATCCAAATATGTCGAATGGGATTAATAGATTGCATTGTTAAACAGATGAGATCATAAATGTAGATATTAACAAATGCAATAAATAGTATATCGAAATTAATATGGCTTATTTATTTCTAGAGCATATTGAAATTAGACTTTGATAGAATTGTCATAATTTCACAAAGATAATGTGATTTTTATTTCTACCATCTCCATGGTAGAACGATAGATCTTGAATCCTGAGGATAGAACTGTAGGCTCCGAAAATTCGACTGCCCAAGCCTCTTTTAAAAATAAAAATAATATGAAAATGAGAATGAGTTTACCGTGAGGTTCTGAGTCCAAAATTCAGAATGCATTTGAGATAGTAGATGAGACACTAGTCAAAGATTCACCCTCATTCTGCAAGAAATTTTAAGATATAGGGTTCAAGGTTTCCCATAGGTGCTAGCTTTTATGGTTAATTATCTCTCTCGATAATAGGAGAGCACTTTCAATTAAGGCTAACCATTAGGTTTTAAGTATTTAGACTTAGCATATACTAGTAGCAACAAAATTGAAATTTAGATTATAAAATATTTAGTTGTGAGCTTAAGGGGTAAACTTGATTAAGATCCTATAGTTTCATCATCTCAAGTTATCATGGCTTTTGGTTTACCTAGTTAACGGATGTAGTTGACTAAACCTGACAGAAGAATCATTGTCAAAAGCTAGGGCTTGTTTCGTCCAAAGAAACCTTGTATACTTTGTATGATTATTTGTCTAAGGGGACTAATCTAAGTTGACCTTAGCTAATAAAAGACATTATTTTCAATCAAGTATACCCTATGATTCAAAACTCAAAGGGGCGGATTGTCAATGGGAAACATACAGACTACAACCATGATTATAATGGTGTCATTTGACGGTAAGCCATGAGGCTAGAATGCTCTTGTCGTAATCATATTTTTATGGTGCCATTTGGTGGCAAGTCTATGCGGACAAAATATTTAGGTTGCATCGCTATTGACACAGTTATTTTTAGTTTGAATTTAGCAGTATAATTGATATGACATTTTGCTATTTGTGAGTTTTAGTCAATATTAAATATGTCCACTTTTATAAACTATTACAGAGAGTGGAAGAATTTTGATTTTGGCCTTTAAATGATAAATCTATCATTTAAATGTTATTTTTAATGATTTGAAATCTTTTAATTTTATGAGTGAGCCTCTTCGGTTGAAATTCATAGTCAACATGATCATCATATGAATGATGTATTTAAACTCTATTGACTCTGTCTCACTTACAGTGGATCAAGTTCATGATTTATATTACTTGAATTTATTGGGATTTTCATTGCAGCTTAATATTAACAATATCCTTCCGATTGAAATTCACAATCAATTCAACCATCAAAAGGGTTAAATTATTATTTAAATGCAACTAAAATTTGTATTAACTTCAGGCATCATGATGAGGAGTATCAGACTAATATTGTAGGAGCTCAATCTTGTCAACTCTAATTCTAATTAGGATAAGAATCAAACTAGCTTAGTCAGAGCTCAATCTTGTCAACTTCGGTCCATGTAGAGAGGAGGATTGAATTGGTCAAAGTAGGACTTACAACCTCACCTTTAGACATAGCGGCCCATTGCCTATATAACATTATCATACCATGTGTATAAACATTTAACAAACTGACCGGATCACATGCTGGTGTTTAGTGCTTGTAGTGTGTGATTTATTATGAGTTAAATGATATACTCGCATAGACCTTGAGGTATTTGATGTTCTTCAAGGTGGTGTAATTGAATCGATGTTAATAGTCTTGGGGAATGTGCAAGTTGGAGTATACAAGACTTCATTTTGGGGCCCTAAAGTTTACATTTTGTCTGTGATTATGAAAGTAGTGTAGATTCGGTGATGTGCATGCAAGATTTTGCCTTAATCCTTCAAGTGAACCACCTATTGTCTGCTTTTATAGTTAGGTTGCGAATCCGACGGCAAGCGTGCAAGATTTTATCGAAAGCTTTCTGCCAAAATGCCTTATGATGTCTTGTGTAGTTGGGTTGCGGATCTAATGCATTCTTAATTTGTGGTTTCTGAGCTTTAGTTTGATTGCATTTTAGTCCATATAAATTTTGTTTGATTGTTTACTATAAGCAGCTTTTAGACGGAAATTCAGTAGCATTTCGATAGCTTAAGACGTCATCCCAACATAGGTGGCTGCATAAAAAATTGTGGGCTCGCCCATGTGTCTAGAAAACATGCACAGATAGTGTTTTGCAACACTAAAACCTTAAGTCTTCTTACTTACTTGTCTAAAAGTCATGCGCGAGTTTTCAAGTACTAGTGTAGGAGCAGCAGTGGATTTTCGTGGTGTTGGAACAACAATGACATATACTTTAATTTATAATCTTTTTATCATTTATTAGCATTTTTATCATTAAATATACTAAGTGCATCAACTTGAATTGAAGCAGTCTCGCGACATCATACACACTTGGGGGGCTACCTCGAAAGTGTTTGGTCTGCCTACCCGTTTATAAGACGCGCATGGTTGTTATTTTGCAACATCAGGGCCTGTAAATATTCTAACCCATATGTATAAAAGATTTGTATGGGTCTTCATGTACCTATTTAAAAGTAATAGAAAGTTTTTTAGCCTCATTGGATGAATGGGAACGAGTACTTAACAACAAGTTTCCCAATCGAGCTGGAACAACTTCATCAAGTACTTAATTATTGATGTATTATGCCTTTTGTGAAGCCAGCATCAGATTTTACGAAGCTTGTGCTCACCGATTCCCAAGCAATGAGTAAAATCTTTCATAAAGGCACCCATTATACCTGCGAGTGACCTAAATAGTGGCTTCAAGGGTCATTACACTTGTCTTGTTAACATGTTGAACTGTTGTTAGTGCATGAGCTGGTTGTGATAAATATTCCCGTTCTTGTTTCTTCATGACTACTATATGCACGTTTGCATTCTTATACTTTTAAAGTTACCAAATATAAACTATATTCTTCCAAGCTTCAACCATATAAAAGGGTACTATCACGTAACGATGAGGTCCCTTGTGCTTGTGACTTTTATCCATGGCTTAACTACATCTTCCACATCAATATGACACAAGATGACATGAAGCTTGCAGACCTTTTGTTGCCCCCTTATTCCATAGTACAAATTATTTGTTTAAAGAAGAGGATAACATAAACTTATATACAAAGCACACAAGTCAATGACAATATCAGCAAAAGCACACTAAAACTATGGCTAACAAGGATAGCATTTTGATTATGATTTCATTAACTCTTTGAACAGTAAGAATGCGAAGCGAAAATTGAGATATTTAAAGAAGGACGGAAGCGATCAGAAACTTCCGCAACTGTCTACAATAACTATGGGCAGTAGTCAAGACCACTCGAGTCCAAATCAAATACATCTCTCTGATAATTTGTTGTTTCTTCATGTGCTCATTTCGATTGTAGAAGACTCTTATTTAGGCAAATTTGATATTCTAGACATGCTCGTGCAATTCATTTTGTGATTTAAGGTCATTTTGGTAGATTTGACAAAGGTTGTGATGATTTGGGTCTAAATCACATGCATCATACATGCATTCTGTCGTTTGCATATTCTTTCGATCATGAAGACCCCTCTTTAGGTTATTTTGATGCTCAAGAAGCAATGGTGGAGTCCATTTCGCAAACGGCATTGTTTGGTTCAATTTTTTCTGATATGGAGGCATTTCATATTTATTCGTGGGATTTGCGTTCATCGTTCGATATTCTCATCTGATCTAATTGACGCACCTTGAGGATCAGATGTGAGGGTCAACTAAACCACAAGATTCATTTCCATAATATCATCCTTGATGGTACATAGACTATTCTTGGCCCTCTTTTTATTTGGTCTTTTTTCAAGTTACATTATTCTTAAATATTGATTTTAATGTCCCTAGAGCTTGGAGTGAATAGGGTCACCTCTTAGGCTTCTTGGACTCAAAGTCTTACCAATTTAAAGTATGTTTAGATAATTTAAACAAGCAAAAGAAATATAATATACAAGGTTAGATATTTTAATGAGAAATTATCTAAGATCTCTAGAAATTGATCTAAGTATCTCATCATGTAGAGATAAATCCAACTTGGAGTCCATCTTGAAGGGAAATGATATTCTAAATTGGTGATAATTATCATTCTCATCATTACATGTTATATCTAAGGCAAAGTCATCACCCTCAAGAAAATTATAAGCTTTAAAATGAATGGTGATGTCAACATTTTTAAAAAAAAATGAATAATAGAGATAGGAAAGCAAGCCAAGTCACCCAATGCATGTATATATCCATCTTTCTTTAAATTTTGTCAATTATAAAGGTTGAGGTTTATCAATACTTATATAATTAATGCCTGATATACATCTTTTTAAAAATTTTCCTTTAAATTGTATTTTCTTTCAAGATATCTTTGATATCCATCTTGCATTGCACATTTCTTTCTTATCTCCTCATAGCACTTATATTTAAGAAGGAAAGAGTCTTGGAGAGAAAATTAACCTAATTGATGATAAAAATTCAATTATGGTTATGACTTTCTCAACAAAATTAAGCTTTACTTTCAGCTGCAACTCACTAAAGGCTTTGCATGGCAAACCAACACTCTAATGTGAGAAAATTATTTTGTTTGGACGCCCGCACAGCCAACCATCCGGAGGACACATCGCCCGCCACTGACGTGTATGGCGACATAACCACCGGTGGTTGGCCATCCGAACCTGCAGCGTCCGGACAAAATATTTTCTCTACATAATTAATAGAGACCTTAATAGTTCTCATCAAAATTTACAGATAAATTGCAACCACATCAAATTTATGCTTCAACTCAATATTTCAAGAGAAAATTTTGAAAAAAAAGAATTGGGCTGCTTGTTTTTAAATGAAAAATGAAGCTTAGATGGGTTGCTCTAATAAATTAAAAGGGGAATTTACATACATACCATCCAACTCCTATTTATATACATATCTAACACCTAAATTTTACTTTTTTACATTTATCCAACCAAAATGATTTATATCACACCAAAAACACCGCCATTTTTAAAAATAAAATATTCTTTATCATGCTTAAGGTGACTTGCATGTAAAATATGAAATTTAGGTGTTAGATACATAAATACATAGTGGCATGTATGTAAATCTTCCCAAATTTAAAAAGTGTTAAGTTTAAATTTTATGATTCCATCATTCTACATATCAAAATCCAGATCTACTTAGTTGAGTGATGATTTGATGATCTAACTTATAGCGACCATGAGTTAAGTAACCAATCAACCTCCATGCATTTGGGGTATTTACATGCATACCGCACAATTCCTATGTTTTTACATATCTAACTACTAAATTTTACATTTTTATATTTATACCACCAAAATCATTCATATCACATCAAAAATATCATCAGTTTAACTTATAAAAGATGAAATACACATTTTCATGCATAGATAATATGACAAACATCTAAAATTGAAGTTTATGAGCTAGTAACACTGAATTAAGTGGTTGGTATATATGTAAATCTTTCTAAAGAAAGGATTAGACTGGAAGTCAATGACTGTTTAGAAAAAAATAAGCAAATGACTGCATCCCTCCCAAGCATTTACTGAGACATGTGAGTTCAATATTTCTAAAAAAAGCAAGATTCTGTGTGTAAATGCTGTTTACCTTTTAATACTCTACTGAGGTACAGCAATGGACTTAATGCCCAGTACAATTTACTCATGGCATCTAATTTCTTTTACACAAACCAGTTTACACAACAGTCCTTTGCCCCACAATTATGCAAAGAAGTGAGAAAACATAATTATTAAAAAAGAAACCTTGGAATTGAAATGAGGGGACCTGTCAGCTTTCCTTGATTTATTCCTTCATGTTGATTATTTTGTATAATTCCTTTTGCATCTGTTATATGATAATAGAACCTAAGATTGTATGAACTGATAGCTTCAAATATTTCGTAGCTTGGGCTTGATCAGACAAAATCCGGCTGCCCCGTTGATGTCAGGCATCGATGCCACATTCGACTGTTTGTGTCGACAAGTCTTGGATGCGAAATTACTTCAGGTATTGGAAAATAGGCATAATGTGTATTGACGACACCAACTGTAATGCCACTAAACCCAGCAAATGCACCATGAACCTGCATTTGAATTAAGGGACTTTTATATAAATACAGCCCAACTCTTATGTACATACATATCTAACATCACAACTTTGTTTTTAACATTTATATCAGTCAAATATTTTATGTCACATCTAAAATATCATCATTTTAACTTTTAAAAGGTGAAATACACCTTTTCATGCAGCCTATGTTGAGTGGTATGTATGTAAATCTTCCATTAAATTAACAATGTAAATTTCAAAGTTCAGCAATGTTTGAGTTTGCAAAAACATGTTTCATACTTACAGCATTTTGTCCAAGAACAGTGCATAGGATGCCATCAGCAGCATTAGCTCGGACGGCACGAATCATATATGTGGGATCAATATACTTAACGTCGACCGGCACACCAATTTCTTTGAAATATTTTCTTGTCTGGGACATCATATAATCACTTCAGTTAGATGACATCAATCAAAGGGGGCATTTACATGCGTAACACTTAATTCCTATGTATTTACAAATTTAACACCTATACTTTTCTTTTTACATTTACAACACCCAAATCTTTCATATCACATACATCTTTACATGCACAAATACAGGACATATATGTGAAAATTAAAGTTTGAGTGTTACATATGCAAATACATAGGAATTGAGTGGTATGTAGGTAAATATTCCTTTTATTATAAAGCAGAACATATCTCACAAAGAAAACCATATTTTAAGACTATCTTGTAACAGAACATTGCATAAAATGTTAATTTAATTGCCTTAAAGTTAAGCTAGAAAACTGAAGTCCATGCATTGTGGACTCGATACCTACTAAAATTAATCTTATAAACTTGCCCTTTCTTTATGAAACAAGTTGATATTTGGGATGATTTAGAAGTAGTAATATTATAAGTTTTTAATGGTTTGCCATCTAATTTGATGACCGCACTAAAATTACATAAATATTTCTACATTAATGTTTAATTAAATGAATAATTACAATAAATGATTTAAACCCAGTATTTCATTCATAAATTTCATTTTGAAAGTCTGAAAAAGTATAAGGGACGGGAGCAAAACAACAGACTGATGAAGGTACATTTTAAATGATTTAAATTCATATGAAATGAAATATAAATGTTTAAGTCATACAGGATTACCCCTCAATGATACTGACAGGGAATGTAATGTACTCGTGCACGTTAAATAAAATGGTAACGGTGCGTCTTCGGTGCAATTTGAGGGTACATTTAGGTACATTTTTAGGATGCTTTTAGACATATTTTTTAGAATAACTTCAGGTACGGCGTCAATCCTATGATGACTATTAAAGGGATTAAATTGATAAATAATTAAAGTCAAACGAGAAATTATAAATTAAAATTTTAATGAAATGAATTGCATTTTCTTTTGGTCATTCATGCATAGCATAACATAAGAATTTAATACATATTATATATAATTACTCACTAAGTTATACATACAGTTGCAATTAATGTCTTCTTTCAGGAGAAGAAAAACTTTATGTTGATATGACTAGTCGGAGGAATTTGATTTATAGGAGGACTACAACTAATAGGTATTAATTATGATATGTTTATAATTTCTATTCACAGTTTCCTTCATTTCCTGTTCAGTACTAGTTTGAGATGTGGTTTTCAGATTATGTTAATGTTCCTGGATGTTTAATGTTATTGCATTTTGTGGATTATTGGCACTTTTATATATTGGAAGTTTCTAAAATATTTTGTGGAAGGTAAAATGAAATGTTAATATCGTCCAACTATAGTTCCCACCTTAGTTAATTTTAAGCACCAAGTCGGATCGTGACAAAATCATCCAGAGCGCAAAAAATCATCTCATGAATACATTTCATCAAAATTGAATGTATTATGATTATCAAAAGGAAGTGATTAATACCAAAAACAATAGTAGGGTTAAATTATCTCATGAGATCAATCTAAGAAAAAGTAAGTACTTTTTAATATTTCCAAAAACATTTGAGTTCCCTTTTAAGGCTGTTACTGTGAGTTTTCCATCAAGCATCATCTAAAGATTGATTACAGATCATGCCTACCATGAAAGCAAACAAAATTAATACTCTAAGAAGAGATATCCATTATCTAACCTCTTGAACGACATGTATTCCAATGTCACTGAGAATTTTGTTGCCAGATACTTCTTTTCCAGTTGGCTTTTCAAGCAAATCCTGTAATATGATCCCATAGATTTTTATTAGTTAGACAATTTGAATAAGCATATGCGATAAAAAATCATAGGAATGGCTCTAAAAAGATGCTATTAAAAGAGCTTGATACATATGCTGTGATAATTTACACTTGGAAGAGGGAGGCGTGGAGAGAGAGAGTTCATACTTTATTTTGATTTTCCAAATACTCAATCCAACGAAAAGATTTTGAGCAAGAATTCATTTATATTCAGCAGACGAATTATGCATAGTTACTACTAAGTCCTGGGATATGCCCAAACATCTTTAAAGTTATTTGACAAACTTAAATGCTCACAACTTGGAGCTATATAATTAGTGTTAGAAACAGTTATATTAATGAAAAATGCATTTGCAACCATGTAACATCTGCCAAGCAGCAAGAAAAAGCAGAAGAAACTAGCACTCACTTGGCCAGCACCCTCAGCAACGCAGACCACAGCCGAACCTTTAGTCTGAATAAGATACCTTAGATGTCTCAGAACACCATTTGGACCATGCAAAGTAAACGGATCCTTCAAGCACAAGCAAAAGTAAATAAATAACTATATATTTAAGCAAGCATAAAACTCTTTTTCAAACACAATAGCAGATTCCATAGAGCTTGTTTGGTATCATTTTTTTTTCTTACTTTTAAAAACATAACAATGTCATTTCCGGATCCTGAGCCCCGGATGCGAAAAGTTGAGTGTTAGGTAGTCCGCAGCCAACGTAAATTTTTTTTCAAAAAAATCATGACATAAATTCTTCAAGTAATGGAGAAAAAGAATTCATGTAGCTGGGATAAAGGTTTGATGTTGTTGTTGTTACTTCGAAAAACATATTTATTTAGTGTTTTTCACATATTTTTATTTTTTATTTCTAAAAACAAATTAACATGTCTTTTAAAATACTCAAAACAACTTTTATATATTTTGCGTGCTTTTAAAAATAACTATACTTTAATCAAATAGCCAAACATATTTTGTTTTAAATCAAAACACAAACAAAATAAAATAAAATAAAAACCAAAAATACAAAATAAAAAAACAAGAACCATCCCAAATTGCCCCAAAGTGTTTACCTCTGGGATCAAACAAACATCAACTTGTCCACTAGCTAACGATGCATGCATAGCTATAAATCCGCTGCTCCTTCCCATCAGTTTTACAATACCAATGCCATGATATGCGCTATGAGCCTGTAGTAAATCCAGATGAAATTAAATACAATACTAAAAATATGGATTAACAATGAATCATTTCAACATATAGCCATAAGACCTCAATATATGCAGAATTTATTGCTCTTTGTGCCTCTTCAACAGCAGTGTCAAAACCAAAGGTCCGGTCCATATATAGGATATCATTGTCAATGGTTTTAGGGACGCCAACAACAGCTACTTTAATCCGCCTCTTATTGCACTGCATCGTCAAGATGGTATAGGAGATAACTATTTCAAATAAAAATAAAGAAGAAAAGAAAACTATTTTGTTGATAATAAGATTGAAATGTTATTGCTAATTATTAGCGTTTCGACTTAATGATTGGTTTGGTGGTTTTAGGTAAAAACAAACTATTTTTTTGTAATTTTAGATAAAATTAAATTGCAAAGTTTGCTAGAAATTTCCTTATATAGGATAATTCTGTTTTCTACTTGGATTTGCTTCGACTTGAAATCACCTCCCTCAAAGTTACTATAAATATATGAGTTAATTAGGACGAGAAGTTTTATTTAAAGATGCGTGCAGCCAAAGATTAAGGAGAAAAGAAAAAGTCCAGCAGCATATGAGAATCTGGGAGTTCGCTAGATAAATAGAGAAGACAAAAGCTGATTTGAGAGTACAGAGAAAAAGAAGAGGAAGAAAAAAAAACCATTGTAGTGACTGGATTATTATTTTGAAGATTAGAAAATATAGATGCACCAAAAAAATTACAGAAATTCTTTAAACAGAATTGAAGGTACCCTTTTAATGAAAATTTTAGGTAATTTATAATATTAGCAAAATCTCCTTTGTTTATTATCTAGTTAGTGTTGTTTTATCTTTTAATACCATGAGAGATTCATGGCCTCAATTCTCTAGTGGATTGGACTAATAGTTGGAATCCTAAGTCAGTGGGAGATTAGACATGGACCTAAAACTGTTGAGTTGTTAAATCATATAAATACCACTTGTCTAATTTGCTAAATAGCTTCATGTTTAGTCCATACTTTCTTGTACTTCATTTAATCTACTGCATAAGCTACGAATGTAAGATTGGCGTATCATTTTATAAATGTTAAATGTGCTAAGTTTGTTAGAGTGAAAATTATAAAAACGTTCTCAAACTGTAAATCATTCACCTTTGGTAATAATATCTCTTAGATCCCAAATTATTCTGGTGTTTAGATATTTTTACACTTCTAACTACAATGTTAGTTAACATAATTGCTTTAATTAGTGAGTTGAGTTAGTAGTTCTTTGTTCAAACATTTGAACCGGGTTCGGATTTAATTTCGCAAATGTAAATGATCCCTTTCCTTTTATTGGATTAATGCTTTAGTCATTTGTTTATCGAGCTTTTGTATAGTCATTGCTTCATATTATAATATAATAATTTTATATATAAATTGCTTTCTTTGGACTATAAAGTTGTTTCATTTGACCCGAGTTATGGGGTTTCTCTAACAAGTCGAAGGTCAAATCCCTATATCAAATTCCATATTAGATTAATGTTTCAGTTCACTGAAGTGATATAATTTTCATTGCTTTAAGAAAAAAATGCTTCTTATTTTTATGTTTTCAAATTTTTACATATATAGTTTTACATATAACTTTGCTTCTTTGGAATACAAGGTATTTTCATTCGGCCTCAAGTCATGAAATTTTATCTAGCAAGTTTAAGTTAAGTTCATGTCTAATTTTGTCGACTTGTACAGCCTCACAAATAGTTTGCTAAGAAAATATTTTTCATTTAGCCATCTCCAATGCAAAATTTGAACCTGATTTGAAATTGAAATACCTCCTTAAAAGTCGAATAATTATGAGTTAACTAGGATGAGAGTAATGAGCTTTTGTTTTAAAAGCATGCACTCCACTGCATAAGAAAATAAGAACCAACAGCCCGTGTGAAGCTAAGTGTTTAATCGACTGATAAAGAACAAACAAAATGATTTAGAAAATAAAGATAAAAGAGAAAATAATAATGAAAAAAAAAAACTTATTAATGACTATGAAGCTTTTATGGACATAAGTGAAGGTACTCTTTCGGGGAATACTTTAGAAGATAATTTTTAAGTAAAAGTTAAATCCTCTCTTATCACTATATATCTTGTGTTATTTTCTCTTTTGTTCATCTGAGAGATTGCAAGTTCTCTTTTATAGTGAGATTGGGTGTGCTTGAGTTTAGAAAAAAAGTTTTTTTTCACTTATCCTTTTTTATTTGCACATCCTTGGGCTTCTTTATAATTAATCATTCTCTCTCCTTTCCCATGGACATAAGCATGGTTTCACCAAACTATATAAATTTCAATTTCTTTTTGTGGTAATTAGTCATCTCGTTACTAATTTTATGTTCATTATACTCATTTGTTAGGCGCTCATGCTTAAAAAAATAGTTTTTTTCCCCCTAGTAAAATTTTAGGACTGATGCTTCTAGTCTTACATATCACTTACAGAGTTAAGAGAGAATGAGAATCATTTTTTATGAAAGATGGTGCATGTTATGCAAAGAAGTAAATTTCGATTATGAGCCATCACAATCAATAACCTTTTCCCAATTTGGGATAAGCCAAAATTTAGCTTAAGAATGCAACTCCTAAATAAATGTCAATATATCAAGTACCTCAAATTTGTAGCAAGGAATAAAAGAAGTGAACCGCTGAACTTATGATATTTTTTTTCTATTTCCTGCGCAAGCTTGTCTAATCCTATCAAACATAATGTTGTTATATGCAGTCTAGAATACACCATAAATGCCAGAATGCAATACTTGTTGAACCCCTTTCTCTTCACCATAAAATGCTTTTGGAAAGTAAATCGAAAGAAAGGTCATTGATTTATAATTTAAGATAAAATTGGCTGTGCATTCTAAGTTCAAATTGAAAAAAGAGGGAAAAATTACATACATATCATGCCATTCTTATCAATCTACATACTAACACCCAAAGTTTGATATTTACACTCATAAGAGCTTGGTGTCATGACCTGTCGAATTCCTTCCCTGCAGGAAATCTGCAATATGAAAGAATTTATTTCCTTATCTCAGAATATACAACAATAATGGTGCTTCTTTTATTTGTGTTCTCTATTTTTTATTCTTTCCTATTTAGAGGAGTTCCTATTTTATTTACGGTAGTTCTTTTATAAAGATGTTGTGCAGTGTAATGTTTAAGACAAGGTAAATATAATTATTTCTAGTATCTACATGGCATCATGGCCATAGCCCTAAAATCCTCTTTTGTTCTCGTTCCTGATCGCAGTCACAGTCGTTGCTCACCTTTGAGGTTTTCTTATCTCTGAGTTCTTCTTTCTGCAGATACAACCTACTCTCGATTCCCTGGCTATCCTCCCCATCCCCTTGCCGACTCGACGAACGATTCCAACGAGTTACTGAACTCAGCAAATGTCTCATGCAGACTCGATGACCTCCTCCAATGAATCACAGAACTTCATGAAGACGTGTATCGTGCCGACTCAACGATCCGCTCCAACGAGTGGTAGAACTCAACGAAAACCTTGGTTTCTCTTGCCGAGGCTTCCTCTGCTTCTCGATGAGTGCTCCAGCAACATCTTTAGCAACCGTTGGAGAACACATGGTGCGGCTTCTCTATTTTGTTTCCTTGCACGTTCTCTAAATTGGCTCCTCCAGTCGATGGCTTGAAGAAGGCCCAATCACTGAGATCAAGTGGGAACCGAGAGTTTGGCACCTCCATCTAATTCCTGTTTGGTCATCCGGTCAACAACCGTACTAAAGGTCCTCCTCTTGCATTCATCCAAGTAGCAGGCTTACAAAATTCATACTTCACAATCTAATTATGATCTAACACAACATGGTCTTACAATTTTCTTTCTTGAAAGTCACTTCAAGATCCGAGTCTACGACTTCAACTCCTATCGTGCCTAATAACCTCAGTCATCTAGTCACGAACCATAAACTACATAGCCACAATTTTTTTCAATGGTCTCAATATGTCTTCATATACATTTGTGACAAAGGGAAAGATGAATATCTCATAGATGAAATTTTGGCACCATAAATGACACATTCAAATATTAGGCCTAGAAAACTAACAATCAAATGGTCATATCATGGTTAATAAATTTCATGACCATTAAGGTTGGAGAAAATTTCTTGCTCTATAGAACAACCAAGGAGATATGGGAGACTGCATTTGAAACTTATTCTAGACTTCTTCAGAGTTATTTGAGATTGAGACCAAACTACATGATCTACGACAATGAGAATTGAATATTACTCAGTATTTCAATACGCTCACACGGTGTTGGCTGCAATTGGACATGTATAAGGTTTACCCTTGGAAATGTACTGATAATTCTGCCTTGTACAGAAGGATTACTGAACAAAAAAAGACTATCAAATTCCTCATTGGCCCCAATAAAGATCATGATGAAATCAGAGGGAGCATGACGGGAATCAAATCCATCCCTTCCAACCGGGAGGCCTTTGCAGAAGTTCAACGGGAGGAGAGCAGAAAGAAATTGATAATGACAGACAACCACACCGTACCATTTGTTGAAGGATTTGCCTTATACACTCAAATATCCCCTTAGAATTACAATCCCATGAAAGGACGTTCATGTGTGACCATTGTAAGAAACTTAGTGATGTGAAAGAAAAGTGTTGGAAATTACACGACAAACCTGTAAATTGAAAGCCATCGAATAGAAAATATGATAGAGAGAACCGCGTAAATGCAGTTATCACAACTAAAAAGTCAGAATTCAACCCATTTACCAGGGAACAAACTAAGCCATTACAGAAAACGTTTAATCTCAGTTATGGGAAAGTATCACAATCCTCGAGCAGCCTACCAGCTTGATAGCACACCAAGATATCATATCTTCCTCTTATCTAGCTAACAACGGAAGATCTCAACCTTCAATAATAAATTCAATTGCTTTTAATCACATGACTGGAGACATTTATGCTCTCATAAACTACCAAGAGATCATCACCCCCAAATTTGTTAGACTTGTTGATGGATCTCACAGGGATTGTTGCGAAAGGAGAGTGAAATCTCCAAAAATATTCATCTTTCTTTTGTGTTCTATGTTTCCCAACTAGATTGTAAAATATTTAGCAAGTTTATTCGTGACTTGAATTGTGTTATAAAATTTTTTTCAACTATTGAGAATTTCAGGTGGTAGATTCAAAAAAGGTGGTTGGCGCTGAATTACATCAAGGTTTATGCCTACTCAAAAAGAGCAATTCTTTTAACACGAAAGTGTCTTCTCCACCATCTTCTTCTCATGTTCCTAAATTTGTTATGACTGTGCCTGTTTAGAGTCAAGTTTTATTATGACATTGCCGCCAGGGTCATCCCAACTTCTATTATATTGCAAAGTTGTACACTAATATATTTAAAAAAAAAATCAAAATTATATAATTATAAAACTTGAAAATTGGCTAAGCATACTTGTCATGTATACCATTTGTTTCGACATATGATCCCGTAATGTCTGTGATACCATACAATCCGGTAAAAGATCTCTGTGGCTATATTATCGAAAAAAAAAAAGAATCAGAAGAAGAGAGATAGAAAGGGAGAAGGTGAGAGAGTTCCAAAAGCCCTCTCTCCGAGCCTCCTCCCCTTTATACATGAGAGCTCATTAACTATAAAATATTGGATACAATATTTCTTCCTTCACTCGCAAGTCCCCTTTGTCATCCTTGATGGGAAGGCTTTAATGTGGAAAAGATTTACACCTTGTGCACAATCCGATCTTTGTGATCTGACGACTGTCATTTGTCTTGGGTGATGGGTCAGGCCTCAAAAATAGTCAAATGAATTTATTATTGGTCGGAGGGTACTTCAGACTAGGTTTTAGTCTCCAGTACTCACTTCAGTTTGTAAGCTTGATTCAACCTATGCAACTGATTGGATCGATTTGACCGGTTCAGCCACTTCGGTTGATCTGGCTGGTTCCGCAATGTTGGAGGATGATCTCGGTTCCGTGTCAGTAGTCCGGTATTTGTGTATACACCTCACATACTCTTTCTATTATCCACAAAGACATTTGGGAACTGTCAAAATTGAAAATCATCAGAGTCAGATGGTTTGTCTCTTTCATTGATGATCGCATTAGAACCAGTTGAATATTCCTCATGAAGTCAAGGAAAGTTGCACAAACTATCCTATCTAGGAGCATGTTGCCTACAGGAAATTGTTCTCACCTTATAAAACATTTGTATTTGATCTTGATAGTGTGCAGATACCGAAGTCTATTCATGAATCACTTTAAAGTCAAAATAAAAAAAGACAATTGAAGAAGAGAACCAAGTACTTGATCTAAGTGACCCATGGACCTTTACAAAATTTCCTTCAAATAAAAGACATGTTTGGTGCAAATGGGTGTTCAATGCCAAGTACAAAATAGATGGGAACATTGAGAGGTTCAAGACTAAGTTGGTAGCCAAAAGTTTCACTCAGTCTTATGGAATAGACAATCAAGAGAAATTTGTACCAATGGCCAAGTTAAACACTATAAGAGTCCTTTCCTTGGCAGTTAACAAATAGTGAGAAATGCATTAAATTGATATCAATCTTTTTGAATAGAGACCTTGAGAAAGAAGTGCATATGGAGGTGCCACCAAGGCTGGAAAATGACCCAAATAAACATCTGATGTATAAATTAAAAGAGTTAATTTATGGCCTCAAATAATCTCCACAGGCTTGGTTTGACAAGTTTGTTAAGATTACAAAATCTTATGGGTACATCCAATGTCAAGTTGACCATACAATGTTCATAAAATATACACATTGAGATAAGAAAACTATCTCGTTATCTATGTAGAAGATATGATCATGACAGGTGATGATGGAAAAAATATTGGGAAGATTAAAGAGGCTCTTGAACTGAATTTGAAATCAAGAATTTGGGAGCTATGATATACTTTATAAGCATAGAAGTGATTAGGTTTAAAAAGTAAATTATGACATCCCAAAAAAAAAATACAGTCTCAAGCTACTAAAAGAGACATGAATGTTGGGGCATAAACCTATTGAGACTCCTATGGATTTCAACAAAGATTGCATTCAATGCGAGAAAAGACATCATTTAAAATAAGTAGATAACAGAGATTGTTGGGAAAGCTCATCTACCTTTCAAACACTAGACTTGATATTACTCATTTTGTCAATATTGTGAGTCAACATATGAATAGTCCAAATGAAGAACATTCAAAGATTGTTTATAGAACATTGAGGTTTCTTAAGAGGACCTATATCAGAGGATTATTGTTTAAGAAATTAAACAATAGTGAGGTGGAGGTTTACATTGTTGCTAGTTGGGCGGGAGAACTCACAGATAAAAGATCCATATCTGAGTATTGTTTTTATATATAGGGAAATCTTGTCACATGGAGGAGCAAGAAGCAAGCAGTGGTCTCTAGAAGTAGTGCAAAATATAGTATCAGACACTTACTTTAGGAATTTGTGGAGTAATGCAGATTTAAAGTTACAAAATGAGTTAGCATGCTCGACGGTCAATCGCATAAAAATGTTTTGTGAAAGTCAAGCCACCATTACTATTGCAAAAAAAAACCTTGTGTATCATGACAGGATCAAACACTTTGAGATCGATAAATATTTTATTTCTGAAAAGGTCAATAGTAGCATAATACACTTAACCTACATTCCAACTCATCTTCAGATCCATCATGCCTTCAATGATGTCTTCACTAAATCCCTACCTCCACGCAACTGCATTGATTTGAATACAAAGTTAGGTCTTTATAACATCTATGATCAGCTTGAGCGGGAGTGTCGAATTCCTTCCTTATAGGAAATCTGCATTAGGAAGTGATTTATTTCCTTATCTCAAAATATACTCCAATAATGGTGTTTCATTTATTTGTATTTCTTATTTTATATTCTTCAGTATTTAGAGAGATTCCTATTTTATTTATGTTAGTTATATATATATATATATATATATATATGTTTTGTAATGTTCGAGGCAAGGTGAATAAAATTATTTCTAGCTTCTACATAAACCAATGCATGAAAAGGTCTATTTCATGTTTAAGAAGATAGTGGTGATGGAATTTTGATGTGATGTTAAAGATCATAGTGACATGCATATGAATATGAATGTTTAAGTGTTAGATGTGTAAATACGTAAGAATTGTGTTGTACCTATGTAAATGACCCACAAAAAATTTTGTCCATCACTAAAGCATCTAACAAAGTTGAACATGATAACCTTTTTGTGGGAATTTATTTCAAGTATAAATATAAAAAATTGAAGATAACCTCCTTGTGTATTGCATTAGCACCAGCATGCGTCCCCTCCCCACCCAATACAAAGAGCATGTTTATACCTCTCTCCTGAAACCAAACCAATATTTCCATTTAGATCCACAGAGTCAGCAAACAGGTTGAAAAGAAAAAAAAGAACTTATTTCAACTTTCAATAGAAAATTACATTGCCACTCTTCCTAGCCTCTTGGAGAAGATCTTATTACCTGTATACTGTCGACAATTTCCTCGATGTTAGGACCACCTCGTGAAACTCCTAGTATGCTTCCACCGCTCAAGTGAATGGTTTGAACCACCTTCCTCGAAAGCTGCGGATTGCAGCACTAACTCAATGAGTTCAAGCCAGAATAACTTTAGCTAATAGTTAATTCATGGAAAGGAGCAAAAAAGAGTCTAGGAGGTAGGAAATTAGTGATAAGCCACGAATCCACCAGAATTCCATTTCCTTCACTCTTTGCACACATCCAGCATAAGTTGGGCAAGAAAATAAATACCGGTATTTCAGGTTCTTCGGTGGAAAAACCTCGGTAACCATGAGGTATCCCAATTATCTTTTTCACGCCGTACATTTCAAGTGTTATAACTATCTGCAGCATGAATGACCATATAGCAGTAGATAAAGAAAAGTTAAAATTAATGCCAACCAAGAAAAACATCTAAGAAGATGAAAGAGTGCATTTAATTATTGGGGCATTTACATGCATACCACCTAATTCCTATGTATTTATATATCTAACACTTAAATTTACACATTTATACCACTCAAATCTTTCATATCACATCAAAATACCACCATTTTTGCTTTTAAAAAGTGACAATTTTAACTTTTAAAAAGTGAAATACACCTTTCATGCATACATTAGGTGGCATATATGTAAGAATTGAAGTTTAGGTGATGGATATGTAAATAAATAGGAATTGAGTGGTATGTAAATCTTCCTTAATTATTTTCAAAAGCATAAATTGATGACCCTGAGTTATTTTTAAAAATAGCCGTATTAAGAATCAACAAATAATTCTCATGCATTTTTTTAAAATTATTTTTACATCAAGTATATATTTCAACATCTAAATCACCTAGTCTATTGGTGACCTACAGAGTATAAAAACCTCAAGTTATGATGAGGTTCCTAAATAATACAATGCAAAGAAGAATTACATACAAATCACTTAATTCCTACGCTTTTACATACCTACCACATATTCCTCAATTTTTGCATATCTAACACATTACCTATGCATGAAAAAATGTATTTCACTTTTTGGAAGTTAAAATAAAGGAAAATTTTATGTGATATGAAAGATTTCGTGGTATTAATGTAAAAAGTAAAGTTTAGGTGTTAGATCTATAAACATATAGGAATTAAGTGGTATGTATGTAAAAGCCACTAAATACAATAATCAGCAACAATTACCTGTCGAATGACATCATTCAGCCCAGGACAGAGTCCTCCACATGTCACGATTGCGGCATTCACATCTCCTGGTTTGAAAAATATTTCCTTTCTTGGTCCTGCCCGATGGATCCTGAGATTCATAAAACCATTTTTGTCGGTCTTTTGCGCATCATTTAATCGGTATGTTTTAAGACGTTTATGTTTATTAACTTGCTTAACGTGGCGATGTTCCAAGATCACAAATTTCGACAAAAGTGATAATAAACTGGCAAATTAAAGATAAAAGAAGTAAATATTTACATTGGGATTGACTATGGAAAATCATCCTTTGCATTACTAGTAACATTTTTCAGGCACCCTCCACCCGTGCCTCTAAGAAGAATAAAGAAGATAAATAATCAATAGATCATATTTTAAGCAAATGTAATATGCCACATCACTATATCCTCTTGTTGGCAATCATTTTAAGCTATTTTTATCACTAGCCTTAAATCACTTGAGAGACTTTTATGAATCCTTCTCCAATCACTTAGATCGAGTTCTACTTTAGTTTATGCAAGTCCGTAACATCTTCATTGGCACAACATCACAACCGTGAATGTGTCCAAACATTTAAAATCTTTAATCAATATGGTTATGCATCGAAGTGACCAATTAAGCACAAAGTTAAAAATCCATCCAAAAAACTTGCCAAGGAATGATCTGTTTCGTCTTTTTACCAATCCAAACAAGAGGCCTCTTGGTTTGTTAGAGGTAGTGTTGCCAAGATTTGTCACTCAACTCAATTCAATCAAATTGCTGATAATGCTATCAACATGCCCCCATCTCAACCTAGCCACCCATAATATTTGGTTTGCTTGGCTAAATTCTTTGTTCGGATTCCAAAAGATCCTATAGTTTGTCCCGACATAACAATAATCATCACCAACAACTCTGCGCATATATGAAATGCAATGTGGTCCTTTTGCATACAGAACAACGACAAAGGCTTGAAGATTCCCTAAAATAACGTAACGATTCTCAATCACAAATCACCTTCACTTCGACATCAACAATAACAAAAGTATTTATCCCACTAAGTGGGGTCAGCTACATGAACCTTTTTCTCCATTGTGTCCTATTGAGCGTCATTTTTCTTTTAATTCTAATGAATTAAGATCATTTTTTGTATAGCACGCCCTAGTCTTTTTAGTCTAATCGACCTTTCTTAACATAAGACGAATCTAAAACATCTACTTTCCAAACTGGATCATCAAATGGTCAACAATTAAAGTGACTAAACCATCTAAGATGACTCACTCTAATCTTGTCTGTCATCAGAGCTACACCAACCAACCCTTTGACGGATACATTCGTTTTGCATTTTGTTTCTAAGTGTCAAGCCACTCATCCACCTAAACATTTTCATCTCAGCAACACTTAACTTGGTTTTATGTCTCTCTTTTATAGGTCAACATTCTGCACCGTAAAGCACTGTAGGTCTCACCACTATCTTATAAAATTTGCTTCAAGTCCAAGTGGTACTTTCTATCACATAATAGGCCAAATGCATTCCTCCACTTCAACCATCCAACTTGAATTCTACTAATAACATCCAATCTATATCACAATCACTTTGAACGATCGATAGCTGCAACTTAATAATAAGTTGCTACACAACAGCTGCCACAAGAGTTGTTGCGCAGTATCTGCTACAGGAGCTGTTGCGGATAAACTGATTGTCTGTTTATTTTTTATAATTTAAAAACAGTTGTGCTGCAACTATTTATGGACAAATGATCATTCTGTCATTTTACAGTAATGTTGCTTGCAGCAGAACTATTCATACCAGTACGTTCTATACTTTAAAAATAAATATTTAGTACAAAATATTACAAAATAAAGATAGACAACTCATTAAATAGTGTATAACATGACTACTAATATTAAGAAAATGACTATTAAAATGACTATTAAAATGCAAACGGCTTATGTCATGAGCTCAGCTGTCCTCCAGGAATACTCTCCATGCTCAATCACTCTTGGCGATGAAATCTTCTAGCCCATCTGCCCATAAAAAATAATCACATTTTTCCATGATTCTCCGTGGGCACCTGTAAAACTCTCTTGTAACTATGTGTCTGACGTGAAGTGAGCAGGGGACATTGAAGTCCACGGTAGCAGTGCAATCTTTTGGAAGTACTAGAAATCATTGAGCTCATCTTTTCTAAAGGTCGCAAAATATCATTTTGATATCCTTATCCCACATTGTTGATGAACTAGCCTCTTTGGTCTTAACCATTATACATACTAACATAAAAAAACTACTCAACATAAACATTTGTCATAAAGAGAAACAAAATGCCACAATAACATCATCACTGCCCCACCACACCACCGCCTCCACACACACAACAACAATACAATCGCCTCCACACACACAACACATCCACAACAATATTAACTTCACACACCAACACCTCCACACACCTAAACACATCCACTAGCACAAAAACAATCACACAATCACCTCCTCTACACAACCACACCAACACCTCCTTAACCACTCACAAACAAACCAACACCTCCACCATCATACACATCCACTAACACAAACATAACCACACCAACACCTCCTTAATCACACACAAACACATCCACCAACACCAACACATCCAAAACCACAAACAAAACACCACCACCTCACCCACACACAAACCCATCCACTAACACATCACATTCATACACCAATCACCCTACACCAACACCTCCACCTCCACGCACCAACCACCCTTCACCACCACCTCCTTGTCCTTCAACACAAACACATCGACCCCCACATCCACCACATCAAAACTATAAGCCAACATCAACCGAATGTACAATGACTGAGCAAAAAGAAAATCATAATCCCGCACGTGCATTCAAAACCAACACATATTACACCATAATTCAAGAACATAAAGAAGTAAGTATAAGCACTCGCCAAATCCAAAAAAACCAAACCATTGCACCTGGGATCCCCATAAATCCCAAAATCCAACTTCAACCGAGAACCAATGAATCATAAGCATTTGTCAAATCGAAAATCCAAAAAATCCAAGCCATTGCATGTGAGATTCCCAAAAATCTCAAAATCCAACTTCAACCGAGAAGCAATGAAGCATGAGCAATAGCCAAATAAAAAACCACAAAATTCTCGAGCACAGAGAACCACACCAATACCAAGAGAAACTGTCACACAAAGAAAAACACGGTGGGCACAAATGCACCAAATCAAAAGTCACACAGTTAGGGTAAAAGAACTACCGCACAAAGATTACCCACACGAAGAAGAACCACCGCACAGAGAAACCACCGCAAAGAGGAAACCACGAAAATATCGAATACATACACATTTCCAAGGAAATGGCATAGTTATGTTCAGGATACCAAACACGAAGAAGAACCACTGCATAGAGGAACCACAGTACAAAGGAACCACTGCACAGAGGAACCACCACACAGAGCACAACACAAAGAAGTAACACCTCACACGGATCAAAAGATCCAAACAAAGCCACAGAAGAGATAGAGGAGAGGAGGAAGAGAACTCACCGAGAGAGGCACATCACCAACCAGAGAGATAGAGAGGGGAGAGGAGAGGGCCGCTAGAGCAAGACTCGAGAGAGAGGATCCTGACATAGGCGGGGCAGCTAGGGCAAGACATGAAAGAGAAGAGGGGCAGCCACATCAACATTATACGAACGAACGTGGGCCGCTAGGTCAAACTTGCTGCCACGGTTTGCTCGAATTTTTCATAAAATCCGTCACCCTGTCGAAACCAAACATGAGGCGTTATGTTTTTTGGCCGCGCCACGGTAAAACCGCTACCTTAAATGGGGGCCTAGATCTACTATCACTAAAATTATATTTCATGTATTTATTTTTAGATCAACTCAAATAAAGGCCTTTAGCCAAAAAATTACATTCACTTCAAGCATCATAATTTGATTACTCTTTCAACTTGTGTCTAACCAGATAGCTCGAACAATACTAGTATCACATCAAATCTCATTGGCTCTTTAATTAATGACACCTTAGATACCCTGCCAACCAACTTGAAGTCAATTGATGACATCCACCTAGAATAATTGTAGGCTCCAACAACTAACAGAGCAGACAATGAGATTTGATCTAGGAAACCTCCATTAGACCTCTAATCCACACCACCTATTGACGGTTTGATAAGCACTTTATATCCATTGTTCATAAAGGAGCTTAGATTGTCCTCCATTTACAATCACCAATCAGGTAAAGGAATGGGGTCGTCTACCTTAGAGAATAGGTGGTCCATAGATCAACATCACCCTCCAACAATTACAACAATTCTTTGTGACGGCAAATCAGAGTCCAACCTCCTCCTTGTACAAACTCTTCATCCACAATCATGCAAGGGTTCTTCTTCCTCTCACCCTATTCATGTTGTCAAGAGACTAAACACATGCAAGAGAAAGAATTCCTTCCATATTCTCCTCTTTTGTTCCTCACTTCTTGGCGCCGCTCAAGAGGACAAGGCAGGCATTCCTTATACTCTACACATTTTACCTATCATAGAAAACTCTTGAGCCTCAGCAAACCATGGAAATAAAGCACAAAAGGCAAACTACATGTTTTTTTCTCTCTGTGTGAATTCCTTTGTAGTCTTCTCCTTTATATGGACATTACATTTCTCCTCTAAGGTCAGCTAATCCATACTCATGGGATTGACTGTTTTCTCATCTATTCAACTTCTTCCTTTGAATTGCGGTCGAGGGTTCGATCCTTATCATGTCACCTTTCACCTTTAGTATCACCTCCTCTGCTCCAAACTTTACCTTAACCTCAATGACAATAGCCATGAAACAAAGGATTTATAAGCCCTAAAGGCGCCAGTTGAGAAGCTATTAGGGGAATCACTTAAAGCAATTTCTTGTGCGTCTAATTTAAATATTAGTTGGAAATATAACACTCCCAACCACCCTGCTACCCATGATTGATGCTCGCCAAAATTTTATGTTCAGTAATGCAACCATGACAAGTTTTACAACATTGATTGACTTGAAAACATAAGTAATCATTTCTTATTGGTGCATCTCTCATACTCCTTCATGCATGCCAAACTTCCTTAGGTTGTTGTCAACAATTTTGTCCACAAAAGGTACTATTTTTGTTGTCTTAAATACAATCATTAAATATTAACTTATTTTACCAATAATTCATATAATATTATTTATGATGCATTTAAATTAATTTCATTTGACATCTTAAATCAAACTTTTGAATACACACAACATAATTGACCCTATTACCATGTTAAAATCGCCAGCATGTCCATAGCTCAAATAATAAAAGCTGATGATTGATGTTAGTTTGTTAATTGTGAAATAAGTGCAACTCCATAAATAAAGATCATCACATTAAGTAAAAATGTTCTAACATGGGAAAATATAATATCTCTCATTCGGGTAAAAGCAATTATAATAATACTTAAGTCAGCACTTCAAGAAATCTTAAGCAAATGAAATGATTTTGTTATAACAATCCTCCATCTATACATCTATCAGCCTAAAGCTACAAAAAAAAAATCTACATTAAATAGGGTACTTATTTTACCATTGTTCTACCCATGTACAGTCTGAATTAATGCACTCAGCACCAGCCGATGTAGGAGAAGAATATTTTATGACCTGGAATAAGGGAATACAAGGCTAAGTTATCATTGATGAATAATTTCAAAAGGTTGACGTTCTCTAATTGCTAGTGAATACCATAGGCATATGAATTTTTTTTTTCCCAAAAATATTTATATCATACAACAAAAGATGTTTAAGGAAATATTAAAAAAAAAAAAAAAATTTGACTTAGTTCTAGGAAGTCTATCGATATCTTACACAGCAGGTTAGAGCAACAGATCCAAAGGCATGCAAGCACGGTAGTTCAAATCATGTAACATTCTTGGTTGTAGAAATTATACTATTCATCCTTGAATAAAAAAATATTGGCATATGAATTACTAATTAACAAGCTGATTGATGACTAACAAGTAAATTTAACTACCAGCAAGGCTAAAAAGAAAAAAAAAAACAAGATTTAAGTTAAAAGCTCTAGCGAACACCTTAAGAAGAACCCTGTCATCGTTGTTGATGTAGCCATTGTACTGCACCTCAGACAAATAATCATTCACAGAATCATCGCAGTTTGGAATCCTGCAAGGAACCTCTCTAATCACACCAGTTCATTAATACTAAAAATGGGAAACTGAACGGCAAAAAGAAAATCCAAAACTGAACTCTTTCTGAAGTGAGAAAAAATCAACCAAGCGGAACAAAATGAGAGAATTTAGGTGACCTTTTCTTGAGGCGAAAAGTGGAAGGAATCGGAGTCAGATCCGGAAATAAGTCAGCAAGGTGAGGGAGATCAAAATGCCTCTCGAAATCCTGCTGGAACTGAATCTTCCAGTTCGGTTCCTCGTGATACATCCCTGGACTGCTCTCTTCGACCGCCGCAGACGCCACCACCCCAAGGCCACCACTCCACTCTTCCTTCCATCTCCGGCGAACCCCTCCGGTTTCTCCCGGCCAAAAGCAGGACTTTCTTGTGGAACATGAAGTATAGAGAGAAGTAAAATAGGAGTAATCCGAAGACTGCACCGCAGAGAAAGCAATAGAAATCGAACCCATCTCTCTCTTTCGTCGTCTCCTCCCTCTGTGTTCTTCCCGTCTGCGGAATCAAGAGGCGAGAGGACTCGTTTGGTCTTCGCTTTGTCCTCCATTTTAGAAAACACTAACGCACTGTTAGGCATGGGCAGCTGCACATGCTTAAAAAGCTGGGTTGTTATTACAATTTTTTTCTTTTTTGGTAAAGCTATGAAGAGTTAGAGAAAAATGTAGATTTCAACCATAATTAAAAAAACAGTTAAAATATTATTTTACTGAAACACTAGTGCGGTGCCGCAACGCCACCCCACCGCCGTTCCAAATAGCCCCTGAGACTCGCGAGTTTATTATTCTGTGATCGAGTCTCTTTATTTTTTACTATTATTTTGTTTTAAAGATTATATTTTAATCGCTAAAATGAGAGAAAATAATGCATGTTACACACAACCCGATCCTGAACCGACACTCCAGAAAATAAAATGCAAAATATACAGAGATAGGACTTTGGCGTTTGGGTTTATTCAACGTTTCATATTCTAAGATATGCATTAAGCTCTCTAGAGTTTGCTATACGATTTGTCGTTCGGTAATTCTAGCCCCGACCAGTCCAGAAAATAAAATGCAAAAATACAAAGATAGCAACTTTGGCGTTTGGGGTTCATTCAATGTCTCATATTCTAAGATAGACATTAAGCTCTCTATAGTTACCCCCCCCCCCCCCCCCACCCACCTCCACGCGTCTGCCCCCCCCCCCCCCCCCCATCGAGATTCCTCTGTCATACCAAGGTTAGGCTTCGGTATTTTATCCTTTTTTCATGTTTAGTTTCTTTATTTTTACTTGACATTATCTCATTCTACGGCTCCACATGTTTATTTGTCTTCTAGCTGAATGAAGAAGAAGAGAAGAATCTTGTAAGATTCAAAGCACAACATACAACAACTACGTGTGATATGCTTGCAAATGTGAGACAAATTTTGTCTTTTCTTTTTTTAATGGTTCTATTTTTATTTCGTAACTGAAATTCTTTTTTTATTTTGTATTTTAATGCATGCTCCTAAAATACAATCATGTTGTATTGGTTGCACTGAGTGAATTCAAAACAACTGATACAACACGGTTGTACTGAAGTAAGACAACAATATTGAGTTTTGTTGAAAATTTGAATAAAAATAAAAAAATTGATACATGGATAGAATAAATTTTTAATTTTTACTTTTGCATATGATTCTCTGATTATTTCTATTGTATTACAATTGTATTGGTTGTAATGAGAGAACTCGGTACAATTGATACAACATGGTTGTACTAAAGTAAGACAATGATGTTTAGTTTTGTTGTAAATCTGAATAGAATAAAAAATGGTATATATATAGAATGAATTTTTTATTTTTATTTTTGCATACGATTGTTTGATTATTTCCCTTATACAACTGTGTTGTATTGATTATACTTAAGGAACCCAGTACAACCGTTGCAACACGGTTGTACTGAAACAAGACAACAATGTTGAGTTTTGTTTAAAATTCGAATAGAAATAAAAAAAATCATATATATGTGGAATGTATTTTTAATTTTTGCTTTTTCTCAAACCTATGATTGTGTAATTATTTTCATTGTACAACCGGATTGTATTGCCTCAATATAACCGATACAACACGATTTTATTGAGGTAAGATAGAGTTTTGTTTAAAATTTGCCTTAAAATAAGAAAAATGGTTTATAAATAGAATGAAGTTTTAATTTTTGTTTTTTCCTCAAACCTACAATTGTTTGATTATTTCCCTTGTACAACCAAGTTGTATTTTTTGTACTGTCAATACAACACGGTTATACTGAAGTAAGATAGTAATGTTGAGTTTTGTTTAAAATCTGAAGAGAAATAAAAAATGGTATATATATAGAATGAATTTTTATTTTTTATTATATTTTAAACCTACGATTGTTAGATTATTTCTCTTGTAAAATCAAGTTGTATTGGTTGTACAACCACTACAACACAGTTGAATTGAAATAAGGCACATAATTATTATGTCGTTTTACATTTGCATCCTTAATATATTTTTTTGTTTTATTAGTTCAGCAATATATTTGAAAACCTTAAATTGAATGACTAACAGATGAATTACGTTCAGGAGCCGACCCTCAACATTTTGAGCAATATGTGATGAATTTTCACAGGACATCCCTGAGGTTGGTGTTGTTATATTGAGAAATCTGCGTATTCTTCACTTTTTGAAGGTTTCACTCATCTAACAAGATGTAACACTTCTTATGCACGTTTTTTAGTGTTGAAATAATGAGAGGCAAGCCTTCTTTGTTGATGGCTATGAGTTGAAGTTCACTGTAGTTGAAGTGGCTCTTATGGCTGGTTTCGTTAAATAGAGGAAGTGAAGTTACTTAGATGAGGGAGCCTTTGTCCGAGTTCACATCCATAGATTTAAAAATGAAATTAAAAATTTTAATTTGAATAAAACTAGTTCTAAATTTATTAACATTTTTATTAAATTTTTGCTTACAAACCTAATTTTTCCATAAAATAACGATAAGGTACTTATTGATCTTTTTTTTAGACATGTACATGAATTTGCACAGTATAACTGATCAAAGACCATATGAAGGTTTTTGATAGACCAATTTGATGGCCTAATTGAAAAGTCCCGACTCCAAAAGCATTTTGGCTACATCATTGGCTATGAATTTTTTGATGGTATGAATTCTTAGTATATCTTGTTTGTCGACATAATTCTTATCACTTACATACTAATGTTTTATATTCCACGGCGATTGAGTGGCTATGACTTTTTTGATGGTATGAATTCTTAGTATATCATGTTTGTCGACGTGATCCTTATTGCTTACATGCTAGTGTGTTACATTTCATTGTATTGCAGATATATATTTTTTTAGCATACCAATATTCTTTTCCCTACAATGCCACAGGAAATACTTGTATAATGCGGTGATCGAAGTCAGTGATAATGACTAAAAAGATCTGCATTATTTTTATTTCAGAGCTGCTAGATGATGAGACAAAACCTATTATAACAATGTACATTATTTTCATCTTTATATTGTTATTGACTAAAGAAATTTATCAATTTTTTTACAGGTTTATGATTATTTTAATAATATAATCATGAAAGAGTAGACATTGTTATCTGATCTTTCCAATGTACATTACTCGTTGGCAGCCACCTCTTCTCTCTTTTGAAGATATCAACAAATTCCACTTTTGGAATCTACACCAGTGGCCACAGATGAAGCCACTCATAGTCATGTACATATTCCTTTAAACATTGAAAATCATAAATTAATTTTGTTTATTGAGCAAAGGCTTATAACTTTTGAAGCATCAATAAATAAAAAGCTCAGATAGATTGAGATTGCTTTGAGCACTGAGAGCACAAGAATAAGTGTAGTGGAAGCACAAATAAGGTCTGTTTAATACCAAATTACTGTAGAGTGCACCATGACCCATTGTCCCCAAAATATAAATATAATAATAAACACACCTTCTGCATACTTAAATCAAATAAATGAGGAATTACACAGAGAAATAAACACACAATCGATTGGGGTGGAGGAAAATAATAAGGGAGAAGTCATTCCCCCGCTTGCTTCAACACAACATCAATTGTAGGATAAGAATAAGGGAGAAATCAATACCTCGCCAGAGCCAATACAACATTAATTGGAGGAGAAGAATATGATAGAAATCAATCCCCCACTTGAGCCAACACAACATTATTTGGAGGAGTAGAATAGGGGAGAAATCACTCCCTCCTAAGCCAACTCAAAATGAAGTGGATGAGAAGAATACGGGAGAAATCATTCCCCCCTCAAGCCAACTCTTCCTCAAGTGAAGAAGGAGGCTAGAATAAAGCAAGGGGAACAAAAATCCATTGTCAGCATTGTAAAGCATACAAAATACAAGAAGCAATTGAGTGCGAGGACTCCATTCACAGAGCCTCCATTGCATAAAAGAAAAAGATTAAGCAAATTGGGAGAGAAAGAAGCTGCAATTGATGTGCAAAAGATTAATAAGTTGCGATCTACATACATTAATACTTTACTTAAAATCCTCCAATTATGTTCATTATATCTATTAATAGATGATCTCAATTTATAAAGAGGCAATATCCATTTGAGCATGAAGGATATTGATGAAGTGCTCAAAAACCAATATATGGGTGACACTCATGTGGATGCAATTGTACAGTTTTGAGTGAGAATGCTAAAATTTTTCCTAGCTTGTATGAACCATTTATTTACATTTCCAGTATGCATTTGGTAAATATCAAATTCACATCTTGACCATACATATTTGTTTATTTTAATAAAAAAATTATAATTTATTTGGATCTTATTTCCTTACAGGGTTATGATAAATTAGGAAACTATGAAAAAGAAAGTGAAACGTTTGTTCAACATATAAACAAGACTGTGGTGGCAAAATGTAAATATGTTATTCTTCCCATTGTGGATAAATAGTATTGGACGTTATTGGTGGGCAAATTAGCTGCAAAAAAAAAAAGTTATTTTATAATTCATCGGCAAATTTGATGCATGTACCAATGACATCCCAAGTGATAATTTTACTCTATGATTTACAAAGACATCCCGTATTATACAAATATGAATTTTCTAATCTTGTTAAAATTGACAAATTAAACTTCTGAATAAAGATGTTGGTGAGGTTTTTGACTCTCTCGTCCCAAAATGGCCTGTGCAAGTTGTTGAGAACATCCCATAATAGGATAATAATTTTGATTATGAAATGTACGTTTGTAAATATATAGAAGCCATCGTTTCCAAACCACCGATTAATTTGAGAAACTAGAAGGACTGGGGTGCAAAAATGCCCATATTCAGGGCTACTTTTGATTGTTTGTTATGCTGTGATATAATCAAATAGATTTATATTAAACACTACTCTTTTATTCAAATTAAGGGTCTATCCATTTGATAACTTATTGTGTAGTTGTATATAATATACTGTAAATCTGTGTAATATTATTCTTTATTCTGTGAATATTGCACGACTCCCTTAATGAGCACAAGATATATAATTCTTTTTGTCAATATGTTCTGAATTATCATACTGTGATGTAATTTGCTA